ACTTTATTTTCTTTTCTTTTTCTTTAGTGTTGCCCTTTTTTAAATAAAAAATAATAATTAAAACTTCATTTTAAACATTTTCTTTATAAAAAAACAAATATTTAAGGTTTTCAATTTTTTCTTTAATTGTTAACTTAAATAAAATTGGTGGCATATTAAAAAACATTATAATCCTTCTGTCTGTTTTTGTTGGAGTTTCTGTCTCTCTTTGTCTCTCTCTCGACTCACTGATCATCTACAAAATGAGCGCCACTGCTTTCAATTCCATTTTCTTTAACAGAGCTCACTCTTCGAACAAGGTATTAAATTTTTTCTTCTTCTTAAATGCCATCTTCACTATTGCATGTTTTGTTGATTTGTTATTATTTTTGGGTACTGGTTTATACAATTTCAATTTGATTTTATCAAAGTTCTTATCTTTTCATCATTAGTAAAATGCCCAATTTTGTTGTTTTTGTTGTTGGTATTCAGGATTTGATAAAGCAACAGAATGTGAAGTCGCGTATCAAGTGTTCGATCAAAAGTGGCATAGAAACTTCACAAAAGAATGTGCGTGTTGGTGTTCTCGGAGCAAGTGGGTACACTGGTTCTGAGGTAAGCTACTTATTGTATTGTATAGCACACAATATAGGGATGGATCTGCAGCTTGTCAATTGAGGACAGCTTCCTCCACTTATGAAGCACATTTAAACAAATTGAACACGACACTGGCACATAGATACTAGTAATAATCTAAGAACCATGACATGCAGAGTTGTAGACACCGACACATAGACAAGAAGTAAAACTGATTTTCTACTGAAAATTTGGCTCAGTTATTCTAGGGTTATGATTTATATTTATCCATTGCACTTTTGTTATACAACTTGTGTGTAACTATAATGTGCCTTAAATTCCAATTATTATACACTACCACTCTCCATGTAGTGTACTCAAGCTGTGAACTCATTCATTTTTGTTTTAGTATCAGTTTATATCCGGCGTAACTTTGTTAAAAGTTTGTTATTATTTTTTCTTAGATTCTTCGGCTTCTGGCAAATCATCCACACTTTGGGGTTGCACTGATGACTGCTGATAGGAAAGCTGGACAGACAATCTCATCTGTATTCCCTCATCTGGGAACACAAGTATGGCTGGCTTAATTTCAAAATTTCAATCATCCTTTTCTTCTGCAATCGTCATGTCCTAATTATGATACATTGATGCTTTGTTGCATAGATTACAAATTTTGACTTTTTTGCAGAACTTGCCAGATTTGATTGCAATAAAGGATGCAGATTTTTCTGATGTGGATGCTGTATTCTGTTGTTTACCACATGGAACTACGCAGGTTCATTCTTATGTCTTTTATGTTCCATAATTCCATGATTTGACCAAGTGAGCAGATGAGTAAGTTTACCTTTCTTAGAAGAAAAGATATGCAGTGAGAGATAGAGTGTAAATTTAATGCTTAAAAATATTCCTTAGTTTTCTTTCTTTCTTCCAGGAAATAATTAAAGGCCTGCCAAAGCACTTGAAGATTGTTGATCTTTCTGCAGTATGTTTTGAATAACCGTTGTCTCTTTGTTTTTATTCCAAGATTGTTTTCATTATAATTAAAGAAAAGTTTTCTTCATATCCGAATTGTGTACATGTATTTTGTAGGATTTTCGTCTAAGAGATGTTTCTGAGTATGAAGAGTGGTATGGTCAGCCACACAGGGCACCCGATTTGCAGGTGGTACTTGTCCTCTTCTACTACGAAAGGTCTCGTTTATCTAGGTCAACTTTTTGTTTTCTTCATCAACAGAGCATAATGTCACTAGGATTTTAGTTTGTTTTTTAGTTAACCATTTATAGCATAAGCCCTTTTCTATAAGACATAAGTTATTACTATTACAAAATATCAACTAAAGTCAAACTGTTTTCTTATAAACTATATTCTATCATCAAGAGTTTGTGAAAATAAGCTGAAAACAACTTATGAACATTTCATAAGTTGTTTCCATAAACTCTCCAAAACAGTCTCATAAATGCATATGTGAGTAGATCAGCTCAAATAAGTGAATCCAAACAGATCCTTAATTCATCGAGCCTTACTTAGTAAACCACTGAACCTCGTTTAAGGTATATATTTGATAAATAAGACCCCATCACTTAATGAATTTGATCCGATCATTTTGGTTTCTGCTCACACGTATGAAATGAATTGTGAAACTCAAGTTGATTTTTTTCTTTTGTAATTCTCTAATGAAAAAAACAAAAGTCAAATGCAGTTTCCTTAAAACCCAGCTATCTTTTTGTTTTTCCATATTCCTCATGCTGAGTTAATCTAGTTATTATCCAGAAAGAAGCTATATATGGATTGACAGAAGTTTTAAGGGAGGAAATAAAGAATGCACGACTAGTTGCTAATCCTGGTTGTTATCCAACTTCCATTCAACTTCCTCTTGTTCCACTGATAAAGGTTAGCATACTTGCTTTGTTTTATAAACTACACATCTAGAATAAGTTAAATTTCATTTCCTTATAATTTTTTCGGTAGCTGATTTTTATGCAAAAAAAATAGTATACAATTATAATGTCTTCCACTAGTTCTTTGACTGTGAGTTCTATCTACTAGTCTTTGCAATGTGGCTTGAAATTTATGGTCTATTTCATACACCCTCCGGACACATTTATAAGCAACAAAAATGCTTTACTTCTTGGTCACTATTATAAGCGAAAGTCAATTATTACTAAATCATTTAATGTTGTAATGGCTTGAAATTTATGGTCTATTTCATACACTCTCCTCTCCGGACACATTTATAAGCAACAAAAATGCTTTAATTCTTGGTCACTATTATAAGCGAAAGTCAATTATTACTAAATCATTTGATGTTGTAATTCCTAATATATCCATCTGTTTCATTTTCCAACATTCCATTAAATTTAATAAAGAGGAGGACATTATAGTAACTTTAATTAATGTTTTCACCAAAATCTAAAAAGTTATCTACACTTGATTGAGTTTCTTAATAACGGTGAAAACCATTTTTGTTGCTTATAAATGTGTCCGGAGGGTGAATGTTCATTTCTTGGCATACTATGGTGGCTATGGATCATGAACCAGACCAGAGAATCGAAATCAGAGATTAAATTGTGGCTTGCATTTAGAGTTCAATGCATTACTTGATTAAGGAGATGCATCTTGCTCATATCCAGAGAGATTGAAAGATGTTGATATTTTTGTCTTTCAATGATGATGCTGTTTCAATTAAATACAATGTAACTATTTATTGAAATAGAGACCCTAAGGAGAGGCGTAGTGTTTATGCATCAAATGGACTGGGAAAGGATTATTTAATCTGACGGCTCAAAAAGGAAGAGCTATATGCATTTGTGCATTCAAAGTTGGATGTGCACATGTTCTACACTTGTTTATCAAATTTGTCAACCTTTTACACATGGAAGCATTGTCTAGGGATTGGACTTAGCTATATGATTCCTATTTCGAGAAAGACTTAGCTATATATATATATGATTCCCTTGTTTTATGTTTCGGCTATTGAGTTTTCTTGCTTTTGCAGACTAATCTTATTCAGACTAGTAATATTATTGTTGATGCTAAATCTGGTGTTAGTGGAGCAGGTTAGACATTGGATGCACATCTTTTTTGTATTTTATTACAAGCATATCACAACATTCTTAGAACAAGCATATAGTTTAATTGTTGTTTTATTCCTTGGTTCTCATTGCAGGGCGAAGCGCGAAAGAAAATTTATTGTTTACTGAAGTAACCGAGGGTATGAACTCTTATGGTGTTACTCGGCATCGCCATGGTAAGTTTAATTTGCTCGGTATAACCAGATTTATGCCATTCAAGTATTACAGATCCCACCTAACTAAAAATCACTGAGTGGATAGATTTTATTTAAAATGATTATGTGATGCATTTACTTAACGTTTGATTGAGCCTAATATTGCTAAATTGTTGTCTTAGTTATTATTATATCATGTTAGTGATTCTCAAGTAGATAAAATTATCTTATTTGGATTACAGCTCCAGAAATCGAACAGGGACTCGCAGATGCTGCTGGTTCAAAAGTAACCATTAGTTTTACCCCACACCTGATTCCAATGGTAAGAATAGCTCTATGAGATCTAGCTTTCGTAATCTTTTATCGATTGTCACGTAAACTGACAAAATTTTCTCTCCTCCCCTTTTCAGAGCCGTGGTATGCAATCAACTATTTATGTGGAAATGGCTCCAGGTGTAAAAACCGAGGACTTGTACCATCAACTGAAACTATCATATCAGGTTTATCCTTTTATTTCACTACTTTTTACCTCAACATGATGAAGAATTTGACTGTTTCTCTCTTTCTTACTTTTTCTGTTATTTGTTTTTTGGTGATTTTAGGATGAAGAATTTGTTGTACTGTTGGAAAACGGTGTCATTCCTCGAACTCATAGTGTTAAAGGATCAAATTACTGTTTAATCAATGTTTTCCCCGACCGGATTCCTGGAAGAGCAATCATTATATCTGTGGTATGTTTGTTATAGAGGAAGTATTTGGGTTACTATATTATATCTGTGGTATGTTTTGATTGATATGTTCGGTTATTTGAGGTTTAAGTATGTTGATATGTTGTTGCAGATTGATAACGTAGTGAAGGGAGCTTCAGGTCAAGCCTTACAAAATCTTAACTTGATAATGGGATTTCCAGAAAATTTGGGGCTCAGTTACCTGCCTCTGTTTCCTTAAGAGTTAAGAGTAATTATCAACACGAGTGAGCCTGAGATTTTTCGATTTAACCAAATTTTCTCTGGCATTCATTCTTCCATGTAAACTTATAAATTGTTCTTTTTGTCGGCTGGTTCTATTGGGATTTGTCGCGAACAGTGGTGCAGAATCAATGTCTCGGCAGAGCTCCTATATTATCGTCCCCGCTCCTTAACAATGGGTAGTCTAGTTGAAATATTCTAGAATCATGAATCCAGGACTTTCAGTAACCCATGCACCAGTTTGATTATTTTCAAATTAGTTTTATTAGGAGACACTTGAACCAATCTGGTTGGGGAATGCCCCTCCGGCTCCGATCTTGTTTGTAATGTTCCTGTTTTAGCTTGATGACAGTGTCTGTTTGTTCAATAAAACTGCAAGGCTTGCCCTTGCTAATGAAGTTCAATAAATTCAACTTAACCTTCAATATGTTTTCGATCAGCTCGATAGGATCGACTGTCGAGCATAATTTTATTTGGAAGCGAACAATGATAAAGACACGTTGGAGTGATATGACATAATTGAGGAAACACAGTGGTTTATTTTTGGTGTTCAGATAGCTAGGATGTCGAGTGTAACCACTTTCTGTAATTTATCGCTTTCATACACTTAGTTTTAACCATTTTCCTTTCTTTTCGATTTCAGTGGAATAAGAATTTTGTTCTACTCCATTCGGTCTTAGTTCTTGCTCTATTTTATTTTTGTTCGTTCATTTTAAGATATTTAAACGTAATCTAACCTTTAAAATTTGGATTTATATGTGCAAGCAATTCATTGCAGAATCGTTATAAATTGACAAGGGAATAACAAATTTGGCACTCAATTGTAGGGATAGAGAAATCTAATTCTTTAAATTTAAGAAAAATTAATCCATAAAATGTGCTTTTTTCACAAAGGAAAGAAACTATGTTTTTTACTTAATCTTAGCTATAAAAAATATTTTTTTATAAAGAGACATATTTTGGTCCCTCATAAAAACTATCGAACTCAAATTAATCCTCTATAAAAATAAGAATTCGATTTAATTTCTTACAAAATTTAATTGAGTCGTATCAGTCCATTTGTTAATATTTTTTTCAAACCGTTTTTTTTCCCATGCTTTTAAATCATGACTGGACTGCCACATTAAATTTATTTTTTATTTTTTAAATACGAAATTGGTTTTTATTTTAAATTTCTATTTTATTTTTAAACAATTCTCATTTTGAAAATATCCAAAAAAATCTAAATTGATTACTAGAAGGAATTGAATAAGGACCTTTAAGCCAAATCATATTTCTTTACCATCGACCAATATGTATTGATGATAAATAATTCTCATTATTTATAATAATGTTAAACAATTTTAAATTTGTATCCATGGGATCACGAACTCAAGTATCTTCAAGTTAAATAGTAGTCCCTTTGCACATAGTTGGTGGATAGATGAGGATGTTCGAATCATTTAGGTTTGTAATAATGCGTGGATCGAGGAAGGGTTGTGTTTCATGGACTGTGATTTTCAAATTTTAGAGCAGATGATAAATACGAAATTGGTTGATATGGTAAACAAGGATGGAGGATGGAAATGGTTATCAATTGGTTGACTGGGAAGTGGTTGTCAACCACTCTTATCGTGAAGCTAATTAATTAGTGGATACTCTAGCTAAACATAGTTACTCTTTGAGGGAGATGTTTTGTTTGTTTGAGGATTGTCCGAATGAGTTTAAACACTTGTTGATTGCTGATGAGAAGAAGATTGTTACCCCTAGGATTGTCTTCATGTATTTTTCTTTTTTCTAGGTGCTAGCCCTCTTTGTAATAAAAATAAAAATAAAATGGTAGTCGCTTTACAACTGGATCAATTGTTGTTAATATTTATAATGATGAATGTAACACCCCGATTTTTTCAGAATTAATAATTTAAATGAGTTATTAGAAATATTTATGAATTATTGATGAAAATGTGATGTTTTATTGAGTATGATGCGTGATGTGATGCTATGTTGTAGGATAATGAGAATTTAGATGAGTAAGGAATATTTTAGAAATTTAGATAATTAGTTAATAATTATTTAAAATTAGTTAGGACTATTATGAATAGTAAAATAAATGAATAATTGGTGTAGAGAAGATATGGGTAAGGTGGTAATTGATGAAAGGCTAAGTGAGGACAAATTAGGCAAAATATATTAGGGATCCTAAGGTTAAACAAGTAATAGAAGGAAAAGAATGTCATTTGGTACGACTGTGAAAACATTGGAAGAGTAGAGAAAAAGTTAGGGCACGAAGAACATAGAGGAATTCGGCAAATTGCAAAGAGAAAAAATCAAGCTAGGAATCTAAGGTAAGGGGGTGATCTATCATTATAATTGATATAGATTTTAGAGGCACGTAGGAATTTGTTGTGGTTTAAGATGATTTTGATGATATGTTGCATTGTGATGAACTTGTGTTGAAATTAATAAAAATACCATGTTGATTTGCTATGAATTTGTGTATATAATGCCTATAAATTCGTGTGGTTGTTGAATGATGATTGCATATTGAAAACTATGAAAATATGAATTGTCTTGGTATGAACTCGTAAGAAGATTTGAAGCTGAAAAATTGCAGAATCGCAATAGAGAGTTGTTGTCTGCTACGCGTTGTCGGACGAAGGTATGTGCCATCGAGCGAGGCATTGTCGCTTGGTCATTGTCGGACGAGCAAAGGGGCGAAGGAATGAGTGGAAAAGTGGTGCTCCTGGATTTTTGTATGGAGAGGGTTGTCTCGCTCGCGCGTCATCGGGCGAGCAAGGTTCTTCGTCGGGCGATGGAGACAAGAAAAGATAGATGGAATTGTCGCTTCCATGTCTCCGGGAGAGCCTCAGACGAGCAGACTGCGTCTCCAGACGAGCACCGGGCGATGGACAATAGTAGGATTTTTTTTAAAGTGCCATAACTTGAGTTTTAGAACTCTGTTTAGAGCGTCGTTCGAAGCGTTGGATAGCTAACACGATGAACTACATGTGGGTGGAATAAAATGAGTAAGAAGATGTATATTTCCAGTACCTAGGCTAAGATATACTTAAATCCTTAAGAAGTTGGCTACAACGATGCATGTTGCTATGATGAATTGTGTTTGATAAGATGGTAATCAATTGTGACTTTGAAGTGCTGAATGATGTTGATGCTAATATGTGATGTATATTTATGCCATGTGAATACTATTGATGAATTAGTGAATGGTAATGCGCTTGACTAGATGTAGTCGTAAATAATTATGTTGATTGTGCATCATGCATTCATAACATTGTTAGGACGAAAGTCCGATGTTGATTTAGGACGTAAGTCCAATGTTGTTGAGGATATTAGTCCAGTGTTGGCCCCGATCCCATTGTGTGGATCGAGTGCGTTTGATGTTATGCTCTAGTTCCAAGAGGAAATTGATCCTATAGTGGGGATCTTTGGAGGGTGATGAGTCTAGTATTCATAACGAATTGATACCACATGCATGAGTCTATGTTATTGCAATACATTTTGATCTGACCTGATCAGACTTGGACCGTCACGGCTGGCTACGAGCTGAAAGTTTTGAACAAGGTGGGGGGGTACCTGCAAGACACTCTGATGCTGAAGTAAGTAAGAGCACGAGCAGGCAATAGTAAGTATGGGTAGAATGATGAATACCTGATCCTCTGGAAACAGAGGGTATTTATAGCCCCCAGCGCTGGGCCAAGGTTCCTTCATTGGGCCGGGAAGGTTTGGCCCAATGGAGGAACTGCCAGGTTCTATGTGCGTAGTGGGGACCCGCGCGTGGTCCCCTCCCTGGATGTTCTGCGTGAAGTGCGGGCGGACAGAGACGCAGTCTTTTCGGGGTCTCGTTGGGAGTGCAGTGGACTGAGTCTGCCCTAGTTGGGGTGCTCGAGGTGATGTCGAGCTGGACAGTAGGATGTCGAGCTGGACAGTTGGAGGTCGAGCAAGTAGCCTCAGGGAGCACGTCGGGCACGACTGTGACCCTTTGGTCGGCGTGGCCCTCAGCAAGTCCGTTTGGATTGGGCCTTATCAATGCTATTGGGCCTGTCGGGCCCAGTCCAGAACAGGAGCCCCCCAAGTCGTGGTTCCTCGGGTTAGGAGCCATGGCTTGATCTTAGGTTGCTTCCGTTTCGGGGTCTCGTGCCCAGGTCAGAGACGCCGCTCCTCGTGGGGTGCTCCTCGCGGAGAGTGCTCGGGGATTCCTCAACGGCGCGTCTGTCGAGCGCGCGAGGTATCTTTTGGGAGCTGTGCCGCCACCCTATGAGGATAGGGTCATCATTGCCTATGGAGCCGTGCGTCGAGGAGAGAAACTTTGTGGTTGCCCGAGGTGACGTTTGGTATTCCATGTCATCACTATAAATAGGATCCTTGGGCCCCATAACGCGTTACTACTCTTTGCGCTCCTGCTGCTGCTGTTCTTCCAGATTTTCATAGCATAGCTGCGATTCCCGTCACAGATTCCTTTCCTCCGTTGCCGAATCCACTCCTTGATTCCAAGTAAGTGACTTATCTTCTTTGTTTTCCTGTTGTGATGTATGATTTTCATCGTTGTAGACGTTTTAGGGACTGTGCGCGTGGGACTAGCCCGGTAAATTCATGTTTAGCTCGACAAATTCATGCTTAGGACCGGGAAACACATGCTCGTGGCCGGTAGATACATAGTTTAGGTTATAATCTGCAGTGCTGCCCGGGGTCTTCATGATCCAGGGCGCCTGATTCATGATCGTGCCCGGTATGTTCATGGCTCTAGCTGTAGGTTTTATGATGTTGCTCGCCATGTTCATACCTTGGGTCGGCATGTTCGTGAGTGACCGCGTTTTTGGTTTGCTTAGGCGGCTTGGAGAAGGTCTTGTCGAGTTATCCGGACATCGGGGAGGCGACTGCTATTTTGTTTCAAACTAACTTTATGGTCGCGCGTGGAGCGACGTGGTTCGTCGCACACTACATCTGGTCCGTTGCGTCGAGCGTATAGTTTCGTGCCCAATTGACTGGTTTCCCGTGCTCTGTAGGTAACCATGGCGGACGAGCCATGCTCTTCTGGACGCCCCGAACGGGAGGAACAAAGTGCCGATGAGGCGGTGAGTTTGATCGACATTGTCGACGACCCTCTGTTGGACTGGGTGGGCGCCGAGCCCAGAGGAATCGCGTCGATCTATAGCCGGCGTAACCGAAAGCCGTATGCTGTCCTTGAGGCGGGCCACGGTCATCCTGATTTTCAAAAGAATTTCGTCGTTACGCGACCGACCTCCACTGCCCGGATCTTCTCGGTGTACCCCGAGTATAGTTTCCCCATGTACGAAATTGCGTTCAAAGATCTTGGGCTGCAGCTGCCCTTCAGTGACTTTCAGGCCGGGGTCTTCGCCCATCTGGGGCTGGCCCCGTCGCAGCTACACCCGAACTCGCTCGCCTTTATCCGGGCGCTCCTCATGTGGTGAGGGTGGATTCGTCGCCCAGCTCGGGGGCCGCGTCGGAAGAAATCCCAGAGGTTCAAGAGGTCGAGCCACATGCCGATCTGATACAAAGAAAGAGGAACCGGGTGGAAAGCGGGTCGGCGGTCGGCGAGGACGCCAGCGCCGTAAGG